GAGAACTACGCCTAGACTCCGATCGGTACCGATGGTCCTGACGGTGCCGAGACGTAGATCGGTGCCGTGAAGAAGACCTAGGCCATGAGTACGACCGGTGCCGGGGTGAAGGTCGGTGCCGGGACTGCGAGTGGCGTCGGGACCTGCTCCGAGACCTGAAGCGGTGCCGCGAGTCCACGCTCAGAGATGGCGGGCGTACCAGGGCAGGCCTGTCCCTGGATTGCGCGGTCCAAAGAGCAGGCGGTGCCGCGGGCTGAGATGGCGCTGGCTCCGTGAGGGCGATGAAGTCTTTCGCCATCGCAAAGGTCTCCGGAGTAGACGGGAGACAGGGCTCCACAACCGAACGAGGCGGTGAGCCAGTCCGCACCGGACTCAACGGCCCTACATCCGGGGCCGGAGTCAATGGTGTTGAAGATATCTGCACCTTCTGGCGCTCTAGAGCCACGTCCGCCTCTACCACCGGTGCTGGGGGAGCCGGTGCCTCTAGGACAGCGGCCTCCTGTGTCTTGCGGGGTCTCTTATGTCCCGGAGACAGGGAACGGTGCTGAGGCGCTTGTGGTGGACGCAGTGCCGAGGGAGGACAGTGGCGTGAGGCCTTATCTGCGTCTGCTTGCGGTGCAGTACCGGTAGGTGCCGCAGGGGCGCTGCGCGCCGAGGCGCTCGATGCCGGAACTTGGCGCGCTGAGGGAGGATCTGGGCTAAGTGCCGCCTCCATCAGGAGCTGCTTGAATCTAAAGTCCCGCTCCTTTTTAAAGAATATAACTACAACTATAACTACAACTATCTATAAGAACTAACAGGTTAAGCTAGGGAGAGTGGAGAACAGCTATGCCGCGCTCCACAGTTCCAACGACCGTCAGGAGCGGTAAGAAGGAACTGAGGGGGCGCCGGGTTGGCTGGGGTATATATTCAGTGCCATGAAAGCACCACTCGAGGGGGCTCCACAGCCGACCCACCGGGTGTTGCTAGGGTAGAAAATTTCTCCGACGATCGTGCACGCGGCGTGTGCACACTTAATTGGAATCGATATGAGCAAGCACTCGAAGAACTGTGAAATGCCCTGGCTTTTAAACAGTCCTTGGGAGGTGCCCCTTGAGTGCACTAGGCCTCCAAGGGGTCCCATTCTTCCACAAGGATAGGCGATGTAGCTTCAGCACCTGAGACTGAGCCTCTGGCTTCAACACTCCTATTTCAACCTGTGAGCTCTGCCAGCAGGTCCAGCTGAACGACACTCCTGGTCAGAGACTGTTCCTCAGTCAATGCGCAGAGCAGACTTTTAAAACATAGCAGAGCTTATTAGTCAACTGAGCATTGGAAAGTCCTTAGATTAGGACAGAGAAGCAAAGAAGACAATATAGTCCATATTGGCCAATGCCCTGGAGCCCTGCTGCTGTAAAAAATACTTTGGTTTCCTTTCACTGTGACTGTCCATATGTCTTCGCTCCAGTAGAGCTTCCTGTGTCTGCGAGCCCAGTTCTTCCTGCTCCCAAAAGCATAACGAGTCCATGTATGCTTCACTCAG